ATATATATATATATATATTTAGGTTTTATGTGCTCAAGAAAAATAGTGCTGTTTTACATGTGGGCTTCTAAATTTACATTTAATGGCATTGGCTTTAAATTTCCCCCAGGAGGATTTTTGAGTGTTCATTGTCCATGCTTCCAATGTAAACTTGCTGACTGCTCTGACTGCTGCAGGGGGTCCTATTGCAGGGTGGCTTTCAGTTAGTCCATCTCTCTGCTTCATTTTCTTATCAAACAAAAAGACTGGTGGCAATAATAATAATAATACATCCTTTTCCAGAATTGCTGCAGAGATCAATACTTCAAAGTTTTGCTAATAATTTTGACTCCAGTTCTTTGCCATGATACTTTCGTAATGCCCTCCACCCCCATCTGTCCTGTTCCAGTCTTGAAGGCCCACCAGGACTCCATAAATGGGGACTTTTATTGCTACTGTGCAGCGAGGATCAACAGCACAGGATCCAGTCTAGAATGCCTATGTTTCCTGGCTGTACTACCTTGAGTGAACCACTAAAGATCCTGGGGACTTGCTTTATCTTAGACAGTAAGGATGCCACACCTCCTCCCTCGGAATATTGCTGTGGGTGAATAATGGCATAGAAGCAAGTACTCTAAACAAAGAAGGGCTGCCTGGTCTGCTGTGTGGTTGTTGTTAAGTACAGTAGAAGAGACAGGAAGAGGAGCTCAAGTCAGGAAGGAGATGGGCACACACACAAAGTATCTAGAGATGGCCTACTGGGCTGACCTGGGTGGTAGGTCCCACAAGCATCACTGCAACAGACTGGGCTCCCTTGAAAACTTTAGTCAATGAGTCAGAGGCCCTGAGTCAGGAGACCCCAGCTCACTTGATGTCCTTACTGGCTATGCAGTCACAGGCACAGTGTCACCCCTTGCTGACCTCAGAATCTCTTAGGGAGCTTTGGTAAGTACTGGGCCCCACCTCTGACCAGTGGTTCCTTGGTCACTGGAGTGGGACCCAAGCCTTGGAGTAAGCAGTCCTGACATTCTCAAGCCCTCTACAAATCTGGCTTTTTTTTCAGCAGCTCATCCTGCTGACCACAAGATGGCGCCCACTTTCTGAGAAACCGTCTATGCTCACTAAAATAGTTAACATCCATTTTCTGTATTAAGCAACCCTGAAAGAGTTTAATGACCTTCTTCAGCATCTCATTATGCCAGAATCTTGTCTCCTCCCTCCATGTGCAGCCATTTACCATGTATATTTTCCTTTCTGCTAGACACCACTGGGTTGCATTGAGTCTTTGGTTTTGCATTCCTCAAAGCAGAGAACAGGCATTGATTGCTGACTTATGTCATAACCATTGGTAGCAGTAACTTCTAATATTCTTTTAATCCTTCCCCTTTGCAGTGCTTTAAACCAACTACCCTCAGAATTACTCTATGAAATGGACAGTATTATTCTCAGTTATAAGATGAAAAAAAAAAGACTCAGAGCACTATCTTGTTCAGTCACAATGTAATAATCACCAAAAGAGAATTTTCCAATTCCAGTTTGTGATCTCTTCCCACTGTAACACAGAGATCACAGTCAACTTAGTGCTGGGGACCAGGAAAATACAGTACTGAAACAACCTCGGGTTCTCCAGACAACCTCTGGAAGACACCTTAGTAAGCAAGAGGACAGACAGATGTCCTAGAGCTTCCTGCTATCAGACAAAAGGTCAAGGGACAGACATGTCTGACTGAACCATGTGACCAGCTGAGCTAACAGCTATGAGGTTTCTAGGGAGATGCTGGACAGAATGATCAGACACTTAAAAAGAGGATTTTTTAAATTATTTTTCACTTTCTGTTCCTGAAAATGAACTGCTACATGCTAATGGGAAAACTAATTTTAATTCTGCCTTAATAAAGAGCTGTAAACTCATTTTTAAAAAATCCTTTTCTACCAACACCACTATCTTATGAGATTAGTGGATCTAACAAAGATAATTTATAAGTTTACTTACAGACAGATTCCTGTAACTGACCAGGAGCCCAAATGTCAGATGTAGCATGTTTTTATCTCAGATGAAAGGGCTGAAAACGTAAGTTCAGGTTCCATGGACTAAGAATGCTGTTTACAGGGCAGAGGCAATGAAACAGAAAGTTTAATGAATTGGTGTTTTTATAATTTATTGATTCCAATGCCTACCTTAAAACATTCAAAGGACTAAGTGCTGTTTACAGGGCAGAGGCAATGAAACAGAAAGTTTAATGAATTGGTGTTTTTATAATTTATTGATTCCAATGCCTACCTTAAAACATTCTGTTCTAGTCATTTTCTATAACCTAGCCATTTTCTATAACTCAGGTTCCCGTCTGGAAAATAGTGATAACCATACACCCTACTTCCTTTTAGAAGAGCTACCATATTGTTTTCTGGTAATGGCTAATCATTAAGACTTTCATTTCTTTTTCTAGCATGCTTTTTTATGAAACAGACTTGTGGAGAGGAGATGAAGGTCAATACGTACCATTTTCAGGCACCATGGTATTCCATTTTGCTCTCCTGAAACCTCGGCCAAGCCCAGTGAAAGCCTCCGAGCTCCCTTTCCCATATGCCTCACTCCTACTCAGAAAGCCTCTTCCACTGTGGCCAATCTCATCATGTCCGAGGAGGGAGGAAAGAGCCTGGGTGGGGGGTATGGGCAAAGAGGAAGGTAGCAATGGGCACACATTCCAGTTATGTGAGTGGAACCTGCACTAGTTTTACACCACAGAAACAATATTTTAAAAGATGGTTGTTTCTTAGCACCCAAATTATAGGGTGGCTACACTGAGAGTTACATAGGCTCCTATGCATTTAACCAGGGCCTTATCTAACATTATGTAATTATGTCTATGGAAAATGAATTTTTCCCCCAAATACCTGATCTCAAATGAACTTTTACAATAGAACTTGAGTGGGTCACTATTCTACATACACCCAAACACTCACAGGCCATCCCTTTTTCTGTCCATCTGTCTGCCTAACCATTCAGACCATCTTTTTATTGAGGTATAGAATAGTTACCAAAGACACATGGAAAACATAAAGCTAAGATTCAGGGATGAGCATGTGGCTTAATGGGAAAGTGCTTGCCTAGTATGCAAGCCCTGAGTTCATCTCCAGGGGGAAACACAAAGCCAAGATTTAAAGATATACTTGAGTTCAAAGCAATAGTTCTGTTGCAAATGTATCTTCACTGAGTTTTAAAAAAAGAATATTTCCTTATCCATAATCAAGGATGGTTATATTCATATGCTCTTTAAAAATGGAAATAATGTAAATATTGAGTGTTAAATCTGGCAAAAAGTTATTTCCCATCCTTTCTCCTTTTACTTTACCTCTTTGGGATTCCCTATATTTTACTCCTATAAAAATATTTTGAAACCATATTTAATTTTCAGAAACCCTGATTTAAGCTTTTCTCTATGCTTGGGACCATCTATCTCCTTGACTTAAATTGGTAAAGGTACCAAACTGACTAACGTGAAAGGATTATTAGGTAATTAATAGGTTTCAAGAGTATACTTAGGTTGACAATCGCAGTCATTGTCTGAACTGGCTCACCTATGCCTACTGCCTCATCCTTGATTTTCACAAGACTTGTGGATTTCATATTTTTCTTTCTTTTCTCAGCAAAGATTTAATATTCTCCTAGTCCCAACCAATATCCTTTCTAGTGATAATAGCAAAGCCAAGTTTTACTTAAAGAATAAATGAATGGTTTCAATGATGGACAAATTAGATTTTATTTAAAGGTTTGTCAAGTGTTCATTCTTGTTTTCTGTTAGCCCCATATCTCTGCAGAATCAGCAGCAGGGTGGAGAGTGGTGTCCTGCAATTAGAACCAGTGTGGATGAAGAGGAAGCAGGAACCTGCTGGGCCCTGGGTTCTAATGGTCTCAGATGCACAGGCATTGTGAGCATCTGCTCTCCTCTTGGCAAGTCAGCAACTCCGCCTCCTCCAGACACAGCCACTGGTCCCCTTCCTGGTACCTGCCCTCCTACAGGCTGTTGGGAGTCAGGGATCTGCCTGCAGATCTGACTATCAGTTAAAATGTCACACCTGCTCCTGACTTGATGGTGTCATACTCCTCCATTTATGCAGGCAATTCTCTGATTGCATGAGATCAGGCCCTGCCTGCCAACCTTGACTTCAGGGTAAAAAATACCCTTTCACCAGCCCGAGGAAACCATTATATAGAATTCATAGGCAAAAAACAATAAAAATCTTACATTTTAGCCAATATTCTAATGTGCTATTCCCTTCAGTTTATAAGATTAGAAAGCTTGCTTTGTTTTGAATTAAAAAAAAGGATGCATGTCTAAAGTAGCCATGTAGCCAAAGCATAGAGACATCTGGATGTCTTGCATTTACTGTGTGTTTATGCATTCAAGGTTCATTCAGGTGGTTTAATGTAAATCTCAAATGTCTGGTTTTACAGTCACTTTCAGGAGTAATGATTTTTAAATTTTGTGGTGCAGAAATAAGGCAAAAACAGACCTATCAAAATGATAAGAAGTCTTTAACTTACTAATCCACTACATCTTTGACAGCAGTTTTAGATGAGAGTGGTCCAGAGGACAAAGTGCATAACTGACGATGAGAAAATGATTCCTTCAAGTCTCACAATACAGAGTTCTCCCTGAATTAATCATCTGTCTAGTTTTGCTCATGTGAGAGAGACAGTTACTTCTTGCTTCTGTCTCCTTCATTCCAGTACTGTTCAGTCTGCATTTCTGTGAGTCGGGAGATGGTGCGCTGAAATGCAAAGATTTCCTCTTCTCCGGTAAACATGGAGAGTCCTTCTGCTGCATCCTGGTTACAAAACAAGCAAGCAAACAAACACAAATCCAGCACCAGTTTTAACCACCCAAAATGGAAATTTAGACAGCTAAGTACATGCTTAAAAAGGACTTCAGGAAGGCTGTGGATTTGGCTCAGTGGTTCCACTGCTTCCCTCGTAAACTCAAGGTCCTGAGTTTGATCCCCAGTACCAAAAAAATTTTTTCTGTATATTTTCATATGTAATCTCTTAACTCAGACTAGATCAGTCAACTGATACAAATCTATAAATAAGCAGATCAAAGTACCAAAGATAGAACCTAAAAGAAAAACATCTGAAGAATAATGAAGCTGAACCAACACCCAAATATGAAAGGTTTTGTTCAGAGTTAAAGTCCTCTCCAAAACCCAAAGGAATATTTCCTATAGAAAAGGAATTCTTTCTCCTCAAGCACATTCACACCAGAAATAAGTAATGACAAAAACTGTAGCTCTGCTGGGTTTCAAAGGGCCAGACCTTCATAGAAGCTTCATAGACAGAACCTACTGCCTGCGCGGAGTCCCTGAGCACAAACCCCTGCAAAGTCTCTTCCAACCTGGGCTGAAAGGCCGCAGTGGGTCAGAAGGCTGCAAAACAGGCTGGGACTGGTGATACCAACATGAGCTCATGGCCACTACAGACTCTGAATTTATCTTTCTTTCTGTAGGGGTTTGCTGTTTAGGAGGAAAAAAAAAAAAAAAAGCTCTAACTTCTTAAGTCCACCTTCCCCAATAGCTGAACTTACTTTGGTCTGGGTCTAAACCCTGATTTTAGGTCCTGTGACAGCGACAGTGAACCTTTTTGAGCTTTCAATGATGACAAACACACGAGCCATAGGTTCACCACAAATGGCCAATGACTGAAAAGAAACGGATTTAATGTAGCATCTCGAGTGTATTCTTTTGAACTGTCAAAGACTACTTGGATGTAAACATTACTCTTGGAGAACTTACATTTCCGATAACCCTAGTCCTGGAATTTTTCAGCAGGTATTTGTTTATTTGTTTGTTTTGTTTTGTTTTTGGTATGAGGGATCAAACTCAGGACCTTGTGCTTTTGAGGAAGGTAGTGGCATCACTGAGCTAAATCCCTGGCCCCTTATAAACAGCTATTTCTACACTGCTAAAGTCTGAAAGTGCCAAAATTTGGGTGCTGAAACCCTAACCCCCAAGATGATGGAATGATGGTAGAACCTTTGGAATTCATTAGGTCTTGAAGGTGGACCCTTCAAGAATAGGATTGGTTCCCTTATAAAGGAGGAGAAGAGAGACCCTTCTGCCATGTGTGGCTAACATTAAAAAAAAAAAAACTAAACAAAACCAGCATACAGAGCAGAAAATGGGCCTTCACTAGAAGCCAAATCTGACACTTTGACTTTGAGCTTCCCAGATTCCAGAATTCTTTTTTTTTCTTTCTTTCTTTTTTTTTTGTACCAGAAGGATCAAACCCAGGTCCTTGCACTTGACCAGAACCACTGAGCTAAATCCCTTGTCAGATTCCAGAATTCTGAGAAATACATTTCTCTTGCACATAAGCCTCCCACTTTATGGCATTTTTGTTAGAGCAGCCTGAATAGGCTAAGATAGAGGTTTAAGTAATCGTATTTTGAAAGTTCACTTCATAAAGAATTACTGGCTTCATTCTCCCACACTCTGGTCAGTTCAGTAAGAAACAGGTCTCTGTCAAGTGGGCTTTCAGCTCTGGGGGTGCACCTCATCCTTGGGGTGTGTGTTGATAAGTTTTACATTTTGACTAGTATCTCCGTTGTCAGCAGTTCAGAACTGCACCCTGTAGTGTTCTAACAGAGTCGCTTCTGCTTGGCCTGAGGTGAATTTAGAGTCCAAGCTCCAGAAGAGCTGGGCCAGCATCAGTTTGTTCCCTAAAGAATCCCCAGAGCCTGGCATCAATGGTGCTCCATGAATGTTGGCTCAGTGAAGGCTGGGAAGGGAACACATTGCATCTTAAGCCAGAGCACTCCATGGTCCTGGCCTGGCCAGCTCATACATGCACTACAATCCAGGCATCATGAAGAAGGTATCAGAAAGGCAGCAGAACGAGCCTGGAACCACAGTGCCCTGGTGCCCAGCTCCTGCCCACTGTTATCAAGCAGTGTGACTGTGGGCCTTCAGCGACCTCTCTGGACTTTGTTTTTGCCATATGCAGAGCAAAGAGTTACTCTGCATGGTCACTAAGGGTCTTTTACTCTAGGGTAGCAGTTCTTTAAATCTAGTGATTTTTGTGGATGATATTTGAGATTTCTATCAGTCTAAAGAATGATATTTCTTTAGAAGAAAGCAGCAAATCAACAGTTAACTATATACTGCATTTCTTCTTCAAAATGTAGCCGTGTATCAAACCAAAAACAATTAAGCTGTGTTATAATAAAAAGAGATTATGTTAATATCGCCTACCTGGCTCAGCCCCAAATCATCCATCAGTATTCTGCTTTGCTCCAACTCACTGTCATGATGTTGATGCAGAAATAAGCCTGGTAGAGGAGTCGAGGCAGAGCAAATGATACGCACCTGAAACAGGGAAGATGAGTAAATGGTGTCACTCTCTACATCTCACAGGTGGTAAGAAAAATCTCACATAAAGAATCTGTCACCTCAGGGAGCGTGATCTTGGCTTTGAAAACTATTTTAATAGTTTTTAGTTAAGTGATATTTCATGACTGCCTAGTACTTTTCAAATATTTTCCCACAGTTTAATACCAAACCAAGAAGTAGGGAGCAAAAGTTTTATTGGGAGACTTGCAGTCCACAGAGGTCTCAGCTCATGACATCAGCCCCAATTTTCTCATTCTGAATCTGGTTCTCTTTCCAGTGCTACTACAGTTTGAACACTTGTATCCCCTCCAAAAGTCATGTTGGAACTTGGTCCCCATGCAACAGTATTAAGAGGTGGGGCCTTCAAGAGGTGACTGAATCGTAGGGGCCCTGCAGTGATCTGCCCATCCCATTATCTTGGATTCTCAGACTCCAGACCTGGAAGAAATAAATTCTACTATCGATTTATCACCCAGCCTGTGGCATTTTATTATAGTAGCACCAGGAGACTAAGTCAACCACACTCTGCTGGTCTCTGTGTGTATGAAGGCTGCTCCCAGATGTCCTGCAAAGGGGGGTTCCCACTGTGCTAAGGCTGGCACATTAGTCCTCTACCAGAGCTTGAAACCAGCATCCTGCCAGGAGACTCTTCAAGAAGACTGACTTTCACATTAACTTCTCATCACTACAAAAGCAAATGAGTGAGTGACACAAGTGATTGTATCTTGGAAACAGCTTTTATATCTTTTATACATTATATAGCTGCTAGTTTAAATACAAAACACTCCTTTTGATGTTTAAAAAATCCTTAATTTGTTTTCAGGATCCACAGTTATCCTTTTTCTTTTTTTTCTTTTCTTTTTTTTTTTTTTTTTAGGTACTGGGGATCGAACTTGGGTCTTTGCCTTTGCGAGGCAGGCCACCGAACCGCTGAGCTAAATCCCCGAACACAGTTATCCTTTTAAAGTCATTATTTAAATAAACACATCAATACTTCAAAGTAACACTTTGACATTTGGAACTAGCTTTTCCATATCCGAATGGTCTTCTGCATCTTATAAATTCTTTCAAACACAAATGAACTTTTTTCATTATTTAGATGGAAATGCCATTATTTCACAAATTTCTGTGAATATGTTCTAGAATAATGTCTGCTTAATGCTTTCAATTTCTGAAATAAGAATTTGGACTACACTCCAAAAAGAGAATAATCTCTAAGTGTGTGATTTAGTTACATTAAATGTTAGGAGAGAAGCTTGGGCATTCTATCACACTGCCAGATGAATCTTCTTTTATATAAGATGTAGTAAGATGGGAGTAATGTAGGATTAGGGGGTGGGACTCAGGGTTGGGCCATAGTGTTTGGGGTTTGTCCAGTTGAAATGTATAAAAATGAGATTGTTGGGCTGGGGATTTAGCTCAGTGGCACCATGCCTGCCTCACAACACAAGCGCAAGGTCCTGAGTTCAACCCCGGTACTGGGGGTGGGGATGAGATTGTTGATCCTCTAATCCATAAACCAAACCACCTACTCCCCTTTTTCTTCTTGATGCCTTTGTCCTGTAAACACAATGCCACCTCCTAGGTCATACGCTGCATTCCACAGTCCCCTTGATTAGAGTAGAGCAGGCTCAGGGGAAAGCAGCCCCCAGTGGGTGAGGATCCTTGCTTCCACGGCCTCCACTTCTCCTGACTTCCTGATCACATGTGTGTGGTCCCCAGCAAAGGAGCAGCAGTTTCTGTGGCTACTCCTAGGCCATTGCACTGAGCTTGCACTTGCTGTGCGTCATGCTCAGCCCATCCTTCCCAGGACCTTGGCTGTAGGCTCCCCACCCCAGCTATCCCTTCCACCTGTATGCCAACATCCGCCCTTTCATTTCTGAGCATTTATAAGAAGCACCCAAAGCATGTGAACAGGCAGGTTCCAGGCCACAGGTCTGGTCCTCCCGGGCTTCTAGAATCCAGGTCTGAAGTAATGTCGTGGTTCTGATGCAGGTGGTCCTCAGGGGACTTCTCCATGCCCCTCCCTAGACTACTGGTTGGTCCCTAGACTCTCCCAGCACTAGACTCCTCTCTTGGCCCAAGAAGTCACCCAGCAGTGGTGACTGGACTTGACTTCAGAGGAGCTGGGACTCATGTGTCTCTGGCACTAGGCTATAAGCTCCATGAAGACTGGCACTATGTCTGCTTTCACTTATCACTGAATTTTTTTCCACCACTGGGCTTGGCATGATGAAAGGTTGTTGAATGAATGAGTAAAGTCCCTTCAGTGTTAGACTTTCTGCTCTAATTTTGTGTAAGGAGTGGGAAGGAAGAGCTGGGTGTGGTAGCGCACGCCTTTAATCCCAGCACTCAGGAGGCTGAGGCAGGAGGATTGCTGTGAGTTCGACACCGGCCTGGGCTACATAGCATAGTGAGTTCCAGGTCAGTCTCAACTACATTAGTGAGACACTGCCCCCCACAAAAAGAAGTGGGAAGGAAGACAATGTATCTAATGTAAAATAATGTTTAACTCTTATTCAAAATTGTGCACATGTATTTATATACTATTAATCCTGGCTCACCTTTATAAAGAGCTCCCTATATGTCAGATAACATTCTCAGTGCTTTACATACTCATGTCATCCTGACAACAGTCTTACGCAATAAATACCACCACTGTCTTCTTATACAGAAGGCCAATGAAGCCCAAAGAAACTAATCCAGCCTTCAGGATAGACAGCCTGGCCCCAGGGCCCTGCCTCAGCCACTGAGTCACACTGCCCTTCACAAACAGACAATGGCTCTGCAAACAGTGCTAAAACACATGGATAAGACAAATGCCAATAATAAGGCGGTAGAAGGCTAGTTCCTGGGGTTTGGGGTCATAGGAAAAGAGAGCTTTGATGTTGCAGAGGACCCTTCAGTCGTTCATTTGTCCATTCATTCTATCAGTCTAGCCTTTTATTCAGGCAACGTATATTTACTGAGCATTGTGTCTGGGCCAGGTGTTGTGTTGTGCATTGTTACAGATGGTGCCCGCGATCGTCTAATAGAATGATGAACAACACAGCAGAGGGACTTGTGGGAGGAGTCTGACTACACTACTAACTGCTGCTCCTGCTAAAAGTTGCCAAATATTGGGATAAATGGTTAGCACTTGACACGGATTAGCCTTGGTAGAGTACAACAGCCCTCTGAAGTAAATACCATCTTTGCCCAGTTTGCAGATGAGGAGATTGAGGCACAGAGAGGTGAACTAAGTAGTCGAGACAGGCCGTAGCCCAGGCCATCTGGCTTCAAAGACCAAACTCTGTTAATTTTGAATAAATACATTATCTCCTTACCTTGAAATCATAAAAGTTATCAATGAGAGTTATAAATCTTCGAGCTTGAGTCCTCTTTGCCAGTGTAAATTGTGGAATGTTCCGTAAAAATATTGTATCAAAATTCCTTGACAGTTCCAAATAGTCACTAGCTCCAAGTGGCTATAATTAAAACAAAATAAATAAAAGAAAATGAAAATAAACCAGTACTGGTCACCTTTGGGTTGGTATAATTTAAAAACCCTTTCATAGTGTGATCTACAGGCAGTATTTTCAGAGCAGGCAAAGAAAACAGCATGTGCACTGTGTGGCCTTTCACAGTGATACAGAAAGGGGCAAGAAGAAGACAAGTGTGGCAGGAGTGGAAGGGTGTATCTGACCATGGCCTCAGTTGGTACCCTAGAGAGCCCCATCCTAAAGTGAATCTTCTGTATTTTTATTTACATGACATTCTTTAAACTTAAACATGTCCTAGTAAATCATTCCTACAACTCGACTGCTACCTGCCACTATGTTGAAGAGGGCTCATTTATAATGCCATGTAGAAGACTATGTCACAATTTTGATGGGGCCGGGGATTTAGCTCAGTGGTTCTGGCGCCTGCCTCACAAGCACAAGGACCCGAGTTCGATCCCCAGTACCAAAAAACAAAAACAAAAACAATTTGAAGTAGACTATATTTCAGTGTGAAGATCATCAGTGATTGTTTTTAGCTCGAGATACAATTACTCTATTGCAATGCCGTACACATGGCTATTCTCTGTAGGAACACCTGGGGGCTAGAATGAGCGGAAGTGGACCGAGACCTAAAGAATAATCCAAAGCTGAATGCTACCTCCTGATGGGAGAAGTGTACAGGACTCAAAGTCCACAGAATTATATGGAAAAAATGCCACGTACAGGTGGAAAGTGCTTGTTCCTGTAAGATAAATTTAGCTCATGAACATCATGAATGCTATCTGCAAACACATTCCCTGGGGGTAAGGAACATCCCCAGGAATGTTACCTCTGCTCATTTTAAGTTGTGCATGGGCGACTGCAGTCTGTTAGCTGCAAACCATGAGCAAAAGCCAAGAGTGTTTCTGGCCTTCATCGAGTGGGGAGAAGACTAGAGACTGATGGGCCCAGGACCGCCTCTGAGACCCCTCTAAGAGCTCCTAGGCCACCATGACCGATCCCTAGGACACAGTGGCTGAACCACTTCGATTTCTGGCAGAATCCATCAATACTCCTCCCTGTCCTGAAATGTCTTCCTCCCTTGGGGGTCTCTGCCTGAAAACTTCTTTCAGAAATGATGATAAGGGAGAGGATTCAGGAGCTGTAAGGAGGAGAGTCATTCTCACCTTAGCATCCACTCCTGTAGACCTACCATTATCGTCGAAACCTGCTGGAATAGATATACTCAGGACAGGGTTTCTAGCAGAGGTGTGGAAAGGTATGAGCAAACCCCGAGAGTTAAATTCTGGAGAAGGGGCTCCCTTAAGTCGTAGCAGTTATAAGGAGAATACAGCACCTCTGGGACTGAGGCAAAGGGGCCCAAACCAGACTGAAGGGCACAGAGAATGACCAGATCCCTTTGGAAATGTGCTTCAGGTGTCTCTTTCTCCCCTCTCCTCTCCCTAACAAGATAATAAGGGATGGCTGCAAAGATACCTTTCCCTTACATTTGCCTTCCCTGGCTGGAGAGCCTGTACCTCTAGACCCTGTGCCTGATCTTGACCAAGACAAGCCACTCACCTCAGCCATGGAGGAAGGGGGAATGTCTGAGGGCACTGAGGGAGTTGGGGGACACTTTTGTTCGAGGCCTGACATTCTTCCAAGCATACCTTGCAGTCAAGCCTGAAGGACCAGAGCTCATGTTAAGAGAGAAGTTAGGAGTGAGGGCTCTATACTGCCTGGTTCTGAATTCCCGGTCTGTCATGGGTTAAGTGGGCACTTTGTGCAAGGTACATAAGCTTTCTGTTCCCTTGCATTCCCACCTAAAAAATGGGAATTTGATTCCCATCTCACAGACTTGTACAGATTAAATAAAATAATGCATATACAGAATTTAGCACAGAAATGGAGACCACCTTAGTCCCTTTGGCTACTTCTATTATTTTGAGCCCAAGTGATTGGGTGCAGTACAAATGAGGTGACAATGTAAAGAAATGTCATTCTCAGTGGGACTCAGTGAATTTTGCTCCACCACCGACTGGATCCAAGACCTTCAATAAGCCTGACCTACGAAGTGTCACAGCAGGGACCAGAGGAGTTCATGGAATCTCATGAAATGAGAACAATTCCCAAAGGGAGAGGGAAAAGCAAAATGGTATCTTCTTTGTTTTTTTTTTTAAAAAGTAATACATACAATAAGACTCTCCGTTCTCTGAACCTACATTTTTTTTTTGAGATCAGTTAGCAGTATCTCATCTTTGATAAAACAAAATATATGTGAATGATGTAAAGCCTCATATTAAGGTATTTAGTTATGTGTAATTAAGCTTGCTTTTTATGCACGGATGTGATTTCTATCAGTATAACTGCAGCCCATGGAAATCATTATCAGAAGCCCACTGAAGTGCCTAGGGCACCTGAAAAATCAGAAATTTGCCCACTCAGCTCTTTCACAAATTATACACCTTTGTCAGTAGGTTCTGCGGGTGCCATTATATCAGCAAATATTCTTCTCCCTCATATCACTCAGTCAGTTACGTGCTCGTTCACATAAAGAAACCAAAGCTTGATAGAGTCACTGACCACCTTTAAAAATAACAGTCCTGTGGAGTTATTATTTAATGTGTATAGTCTGTAATAATGAGAAATTCCTGGAGATGGTTAATAGTGATGATTGCACAACAAGGTGAATGTGCTTAAAATGCCACTGACCTGGTTAAAATGGTGAATTTTATGTATTATTTTATCATATTAAAAAGCCACTATTATAATAAGGAAAAATCAATGATTGCCAAGGAAGGCCACAAAGAGATGACAATATTATTTTTTCTTTAAAACATAAGGAAACTGAAATATATTCATAAAGGAGGCCTTTCTCAAAAGAAATTAGCTCCAATAGAATTAATTTAAAATTTAATTTTTGATCAGATCCCCCAAATTTAAGACCCAATCAAAAAATGGTCATCCAGCCGGATGTGGTGGTGCATGCCTGTAATCCCAGCACTCAGGAGGCTGAGGCAGGAGGATCACTGTGAGTTCAAGACCAGCCTGGGCAACACAGTGAGTTCCAGGTCAGTCTCAACTACATAGTGAGACCCTGTCTCAAAAAAGCAAACAACAAAACAAAACAAACAAACAAAAAAAAACAAATGGTCATCTGAAATAAATAGAGAATGAATATAAATGGCAAACAAATATATGAAAAATGTTCAACATTACTGGTCATCCAAGAGATGCAAATTAAAACAATGCTGAGGGCCTGGGGATTTAGCTCAGTGGTTCTGCTGCCTGCCTTGCAAGCACAAGGGTCTGAGTTCGATCCCTGGTACCCAAAACAAAACAAAAAACAATGCTGAGATTCCATCTCACTCCAGAAAGAATGGCTATTATCAAGAAATCAACTACATCTTCTTTATCCAGTCTCCAGTTGATGGGCAACTGTGCTCTGTCTGAGTTTTACCTATTACAAACTGTGCCGCTATAAACACGGGTGTACATATATCACTTTTATTAAGATTCTTTTGGAAAAATACTTTGCAGGGGGATAGCTGGTTCAAAGAAGATATGGTTTTTTAATAAAACGGAGTACCACTCAACCATAAAGAATGAGAAGCCAGAGACATTTATAACTAAATGGATGCACACTGAGTGTTCTTTTTAATCAGAAATGGTATTTTTCATTAAGTTGTATAGTCATGGGTGAAAATACAGTAGAGGCTTTGAAATTGCTGGCACTATCATTTCTTGTCATGTGATTCTGAGTAAATCTCTGAACTTTAATTTCCTCATCTGTAAAGGAGCCCAATGAGTAGTGCACTGTTCATTTGTGTTCCTTCTCTCCATCATGTCAGGTGATACCTAATCCAGCTGCACTTGTATCTTGCCTCTGGCTCCATTCTCTCCTTCTGGCAGTTGAAATGAACCTATATTAAACTTTATGCATATTCTCCATTTCTTTTATCCTTTCTTCTGCATGTACAATATCTTCTTTCCTCTCTCGCTCCCATGATTTGGTTTGGATAATTTTCTCTGATCTGTATCTAGTCTACTCTATTTCTCCTTAGCTGTATTTAATCTGCTCTTAAAATTATCTATTGAGAGCTGGGCATGGTGGTGCACCCTGTAATCCCAGTGCTCGGGAGGCTGAGGCAGGAGGATCGCTGTGAGTTTGAGACCAGCCTGGGCTACATAGTGAACTCCAGGTCAGTCTCAACTATGCAGTGAGACCCTGTCTCAAAACAAACAAACAACAACAAAAACCAAAAAATTATCTATTGAGTTCTTGATTTGGTTATTTATTGTACTTTATAGTTGCAGAATTTCCACTGGTTCTTTTCTCACAGTATTGCAATGTCTTTTCTTATTCTCTAGATCAGTGGGTGGCGAACCATGGCACATGTGCCACAGCAGGCTGTTTGTATCATCGAAAGCTCTAAAAGGTTTGCCATCACTTCTCTAGATTCTTTCTAAAATTTCGAGCCTGGATTTTCATTTCTTTTATACCCCTTTGATTATATAATCTTAGTTGTTTACAATATGGACTTGCAATTCAATATCTAGAGTATCTAATTTTATTGTCTGTTGTTTTTATTTCTTCTCATTCACGGTGTCTTTTTTATTATTACTATGTGTTTGCAGTAAATAATGATTACTTTCCTCATGAGGAGTTGGTGCATGGACATAATAAATCTTAATTCCTTTTTCATCTCCTTTCCCTTCTCTCCCTACTCCTTCTATCTCATGGTCCCCCCTTCCCACTTGCAAAAGATCTACCTCCCTATTTCTATGTCCTATTATCTATCTTTTATTTTGTTCTTTATTTATATTTTCAGTTTTGCAATATTTAAGCTTATGTATCCGATTGATTTCACTTAACATTATGGCCTCATGGTGAATCCATTTTCCTACAAATTACTCATTTATTTTTTTATGGCAGAGTAGTACTCCACTATGCATACATACCACATTTTCTTCATCCATTCATCTGCTGATGGGTGTATCAGCCA